TATAGCCCCCAAGGGGGCCCCCGGGGGCCCCCTTGGGGGCCCCTGGGGGGCCCCCAGGGGCCCCCCGGGGGCCCCCGGGGGCCCCAGATGGGGAAGGCAGTGGGCCAGGGGGCCCCCTGGTCTTTGAGAAGTTATTATCAACAAAATGGCAATTTAAAAATATTTGAAATTAATTAATTTATAATTTGATAATTGTTTTTTAATTTTGGAGTTTAGAGCTGTCTGTACACCCGAAGTTGCTGCCGATGCTGCTCCCGCGGCGATGCAAACGAGCAGCAGCAGCAGACTAGCTGCTGCTGCAGCAGCAGCAGCAGCAGCTACGGTTGCTGCTGCTGCTGCTGCTGCTGCAACGTACTATCTGCTGAGGGCCCGCCGAGGCCTGCAGAATGCCAACAGGGGCGCGGCTGGTGAGGGCAGCAGCAGCTGCAGCAGCAGCTGCAGCAGCAGCACGAGCAGCAGCAGCAGCGGGACAAAAAGCAGCCACAGCAGCAGCAGCAGCAGCAGCAGCAGCAGCGGCGTCGGAGTGTACATACACTTCGGCTCGGAAACAGGAACGGCGGAAAGGGTCAGCGAGCTGCTGGCCTGCAGCCTCTGCGCGCTGCAGCAGCAGCAGCAGCAGCAGCAGCAGCAGCAGCAGCAAGCAGTATTTATTTTTGACTTGGAGGTGAGGCTTTTGCATGCATTTTGGCTTTTTGCTGCTGCTCTGGTCCACTGGACCACTGCAGCAGCAGCCTGCGTGCGGCTTAGCAGCCTCTGCCGCGGGAGCATCGAACTGCAGCAGCAGCAGCAGCAGCAGCAGCAAAACCTCCAGCAGCAGCAGCAGCAGCAAAACCAGCACCATCAGCAGCAGCAGCAGCCACAAAACCAGCAGCAGCAGCAGCAGCAGCAGCAGCAGCAAGCTGTCATTCCGTGCGTCTCAAATGCTTGCATGCAGGACTTTACCCCCAGTGCCTTTTTGCTGCCTCCCGATGGCCCCCAGGGGCCCCCAGGAAACTTGTGGGGCCAGGGGGGCCCCTCCCCCGCTGCCAGGGGGGCCCCCCAGGGGCCCCCAGGACCCCAGGGGCCCCCAGGGTCTCAGGGGCCCCCAGGGTCTGAGGGGCCCCCAGGGTCTGAGGGGCCCTGGGGGCCCCCTGGGGCCTCCCAGGGGGCCCCCGGGGCCCTCCAGGGGGCCCCCGGGGGCCCCCCGGGGGCCCCCGGGGGCCCCCAGGGGGCCCCTGGGGGCCCCCAAGGGGCCCCCCGGGGGCCCCCAGGGTGTGAGGGGCCCCTTCCATTGCGAGTGTTAGTGCTGGCAACTCATGGAGAGGGAGAGGCCACAGCCAGCGCGAAGCAGTTTGAAGACTGGGTAGGCAGCAGCAGCAGCAGCAGCAGCAGCAGCAGCAACAGCAGCAGCAGCAACAGCAACAGCAATAGCAGGAATGGCAGCAGAAGCGCCACACGTAGCAGTAGCAGTGGCAGTTTATGCAGCAGGAATCTTCTTTCTGCAAGGAACTGCGTTGACATTTGCTTCTTGCCTTGCTGCTGCTGCTGCTGCTGCTGCTGCTGCTGCTGTGTTGCTGCTGCAGCTAAACAGCTACTGCAAGTGGCTGCGGCAGCTGCACCTGCATGTGGTGCAGCGCGGGGACTTCGCTGCTGCTCGTTCGCTGCTGCAGCAGCGCGCGGCTGCCGTGCAGCTCCAGCAGCAGCAGCAGCAGCAGCAGCAGCAGCAGCAGCAGCAGCAGCAGCAGCAGGAGCCCGTGTTCTTGCCAGGGGCCTTTGCTGTGCTGGGCCTCTGCAGCAGCAGCTACCCCAGCACTTATAATGCGATGGCCTGCCGCACGCACAGGGCCCTGCGGCGGGCCTGCCGCATGCAGCAGCAGCTGCACGAGTTTGCTGCTGCCGCCAGCAGCAGCCGCAGCAGCAGCAGCAAGGAGGCGCTGCAGCAGCAGCTGCTGCAGCTGCTGCCGCGGAGACCAGCAGAAGTCGTGGGGACTGTCGGGGACTGCGACGACAGAGGAGACACAGAAGCAGCAGCGCAGCAGTGGACGGAGCAGCAGCTGCTTCCAGCCCTCAGGCGGCTGCAGCAGCACTGCAGCAGCAGCAGCAGCAGCAGCAGCAGCAGCAACAGCGCTGCTAGTCGCGCTGCACGTAAGCTGCAGCGCGAGCCAAACTCAGGCGAAGCAGCAGCAGCAGCAGCAGAGAAGGCCGGAATGCAGGCAGTGCGTATGTGGCTGGAGCACCGTAAGCTCTGCCGTTGCTGCTGTTGCTGCTCTGCTGCTGCTGCTGCTGCTGCTGCTGCTGCTGCTGCTGCTGCCGCTCGATTTGGAGTTGCTGCTGCTTTTGCTTTTCGCAGTGCCCTTTTTGCTGTCCCTGAGCCAGCCTGTGCTTCTTGGGCCGCTGGTGCCGCCGCTGTTGCTGCTGCTGCTGCTGCTGCTGCTGCTGCTGCTGCTGCTGCTGCTGCTTGAGCCTCCAATGTTGCAGCAGGCGGCGCGAGTGCCTTGTGAGTGCATGCAGACAAAGCCCCAACTGTGGCAGTCTTTCGAAATGGAGTAAAAATAAAGGAAGAAGGAGCAGCAGCAAAGGGAGACTTGGGGCCGCAGCAGCAGCAGCAGCAGCAGCTGCTGCTGCTGCAGCAGGGAGATGAGGCGCTGCAACAGCAGCAAACGCAGCAGCGGCCGTCTTCGACCTCCGCCCGATTTGCCTTTGCTATGGAGCCTCTGCCGCTGCTGCGCAGCACTGACCTGCTGCAGCAAGAGGAAGACGCAGCGACAGCAGCAGCAGCAGCAGCAGCAAAGCACCCTGCTGCTGCTGCTGCAGCAGCAGCAGCAGACTCTAGTTGCCGGGAGCTGGAGTTTGATGTTTCTGCTGCTCCAGGGCTGCGGTGCCACACAGCCGACACACTCTATGTGCTGCCGCGCAACAGCAACGAGGAGGTGTGCCCCCTGCTGCTGCTGCTGTTGTTGCTGCTGCTGCTGCTGCTGCTGTTGTTGTTGTTGCTGCTGCTGCTGCTGCTGCAGTAGGTAATGCAACTGGGCAGAGTATACGGGGAGGCCCTGGGGTGAAACGACGAAAGACTTAAAAGGCATTGGCTATGTCTGGCTGCCAGCTGCAAGCTCCCGTTGCTGCTGATTTCTGCTGCTGCTGCTGCTGCTGCTGCTGCTGCTGCTGCTGTTGCTGCTGCAGGTTTTGTGGTGGTTTGACTTCCTTGGGTTTAAAAAGCGAGGAATAGACCTTAAAGACGAAATTCACTTTTTGGAGGAGACTGTCCCTTTCCCAACCCCCTGCACTGTCGAGGTGCTGCTGCTGCTGCTGCTGCTGCTGCTGCTGTTGCTGCTGCATTAGCAGCAGTCGCTGCTGCTGCTGCTGCTACTTCTGCGGCAGTTGTTCTTTTGAAATGCCCTGCTGCTGCCACTGCAGCGTGTTGCTGCTGCTGCTGCTGCCGCTGCTGTTAATACCTCGCACAAGCTTGCCGGGGCCGCTGCAGCTGTGACTGCTGCAACCACGCTGCTGCTGCTGCTGCTGCTGCTGCTGCTGCTGCAGGATGCCCTTGCTCTTTACTGCAGCTTCGAGCTTCCTAGCCGGGCGGAGCTTTCTGTCTTTGGCTGCTTCGCTGAGGAGCAGCAGCAGCGGAGGCAGTGGCTGCGGCTCACCACCGACCCCACGGTAACTGAGGGTTTAGGGTTTAGGGTTTAGGGTTTGGGGTTTAGGGTTTAGGGTTTGGGGTTTAGGGTTCAAATTCCAGCGGTTCAGGAGTAGGACGTTTGATTTGCAGTTTTGCTGCAGCAGCAGCAGCAGCAGCAGATGGCCTGGCTGGGGTGGGTTTAGGGTTTAGGGTTTAGGGTTTAGGGTTTGGGGGTGGTTTGCTGCTGCAGCAAGGAGACACTTTTGCTGCTGCAGTGAGGGGACAGGGCTGGTGTCTTCGAGGGCTGCTGGCTGTGCTGCTGCCGTCCCTTAATTTAGCAGCAGCAAACTTGGGGCTGCTGCTGCTGCTGCTGTCGCGGGGCCGCATGCCCCGCGCATACACTCTGGCCTCTTCCCACCTGCAGCAGCCGCAGCAGCAGCAGCAGCAGCAGCAGCAGCAGCAGCAGCAGCAGCAGCAGGTTACGCGCACCGCGTGCATCTGCCTCAACCGGCACAGCTCGCCGAGAAGGGATCCGCAGCAGTTGCTGCTGCTGCTGCAGCAGCACGGTGAGCCTCCCCGCAGCAGCAGCAGCAGCAGCAGCAGCAGCAGCAGCTAGAGGCTGAGCAGCACCTCCACTACCAAATTGTGCCAACTCCACCTGCCTAAGCCGTCGCTGCTGCTGCTGCTGCTGCTGCTGTTGCTGCTGCTGCTGCTGCTGCTGCTGCTGCTGCTGCTGCTGCTGCTGCTGCTGCTGCTGCTCTCCTGCGTCTCCTTAGGAATCCGGCCCTTTGCTGCTGCTGCAGCTATTCCCTCAGGAACTCATCATGGGGTCTGTTCTTCTTACTTATTAAACTTGAGGGCCCCCCAGGGGGGCCCCCCTCCCGAGGGGCCCCCCAACCCTCAGGGGGGCCCCCTGGGGGCCCCTGTGTCTGTTCTGTGCTGCTGCAAACCCTCTTGCTTCAAGCTGCCTGCTGATGAAGACACGCCGCTGCTGCTTGTTGCTGCTGGCACAGGTGAAGCTGCTGGTGCTGCTGCTGCTGCTGCTGCTGCTGCTGCTGGTACTGCTGCTGCCGCTGCTTTTGCCGCTGCAGCAGCAGCTGCTGCTGCTGCCACTTCTGTCGGCGCTAGAAGGCGCGTCGGCTCAAAGCGTATGGCTTCGGGTTCAGGGTTTAGGGTTTAGGGTTTAGGGTTTAGGGTTTAGGGTTTAGGGTTTGCTTGCTGCTGCAGGCGTTGCCCCCTTTGCTGCTTTTGTAAGACACCTGGCAGCAGTGGGGGCCCCCCGAGCTGCAGCACATCTTTTTTTCGGGTGTACAGACACCCGGCACTTTCTTTACAAAGATCTTTTTCTTTCCCACCTCGACTGGCAGCAGCAGCAGCAGCCAGAGGTGCAGCAACTTCTGGAACAGTACCTGCAGAAGCAGAAGCAGCAGCAGCAGCAGCAGCAGCAGCAGCAGCAGCAGCAGCAGCAGCAGCAGCAGCAGCACGTGCTGAGCCGCGTCTTTCTAGCTCTTTCCCGGGTCAACCCAGAGGTACTGTTGCATTTTTCTTCCTTGCTTTCCACTTATGCCCTGCTGCTGCTGCTGCTGCTGCTGTTGCTGCTGCTGCTGTTGCTGCTGCTGCTGAGCTGTGTGTCTGGCAGCCGCTGCTGCTGCTGCTGCTGGGGCTGTGCATGCAGCGCAAGGTGTACGTACAGCACAAAATTGCCGAAGAGGGGGAACTTGTGTGGGGTCTGCTGCAGTCGGGTGCTGCAGTGTATGTCTGCGGGTAAGTCCTGATCTGGCAGCTGCTGCTGCTGCTGCAGCTGCTGCTGCTGCTGCTGTACAGGTTGCTACTGTTACTGCTGCTGGTGCGCCGTAGAGGCTGACACTTCTGCTGCTGTGCTGTAAAAGCTGCTGCCGCTGCTGCTGCTGCTGCTGCTGCTGCTGCAGTTGCAGCTGCTGCTGCTGCTGCTGCTGCTGCTGCTGCAGAGGCTGCTGCTGCTGCTGCTGCTGCTGGAGTGTCTGTACAGGAAGCCGGCAATGGGGGAGGCGGTGCAGGCTGCTCTTGTCTCTGTTGCTGCTGCTCATATAGGACAGAAGAAGGCGGAGGCCTTCATTCAGCGCATGCACGACAGTACGCGCTCGCTGCTGCTGCTGCTGCTGCTGCTGCTGCTGCTGCTGCTGCAGGTGCTGATGCAGCTGCTGCTACTGCTGCTGCTGCAGCTGCTGCTGCTGCTGCCTCTATACTCGTTGCCGCTGCTGCACGGCAGACGCTGCTTGGCGACTTGCTGCGGATCTGGCTGCTGCTGCTGCTGCGGCGTTCAAGTCCCGTAGTTAAGACTGCAGCAGCTGCTGCTTCGCTTGCTGCTGCCGCAGCAGCAAACAGTTGCTGCTGCCGCAGCAGCAAACAGTTGCTGCTGCTTCTGTCTCTGCATGCAGCTGGGAAGTACATAAAGGAGCTATGGGACTAAAGGAGTTATTGGAAAAATGAAGTTCCCTTTGCTAGCAGCAGCAGCAGATGCTGGGGGGCCCCCGGGGGCCCCCAAGCCATGGGGCCCCCAGGGCCCTTCACTGCCGGGGGGCCCCCCTACTTGCTCCCAGGGGGCCCCCTGAAGGCCCCAAAACAACCTATGTGGGCCTTGAGGGGCCCCCCGGGGGCCCCTGGAGGACACTTTAAGTATACAAGGGCCCCCTGGGGCCCCCTAGGGCCCCCTAGGGCCCCCTAGGGGTCCTGGGGGCCCCCTGGGGGCCCCCTGGGGGCCCCAGGGGCCCCTGGGGGCCCCCTGGGGTCTTCTAGGGACATTGGGGGGCCCCTGTAGGGCCCCACAGGCCCTTGTGGGGCCCCCCAAACCCCTGAGCTGTTGGGCTGTTTGCTTTTGCTGCAGTTATGCTCTCCTAATTGTTTTGCTGCAGGGTTTAGAGAGGCGGGGGCTTGCTGCTGCGCTCTAGGGTTTAGGGTTTAGGGTTTAGGGTTTAGGGTTTAGGGTTTAGGGTTTAGGGTTAGGAGAAGGCTTAGGGGATGTGCATGCACTCATATATAAACCGGGATTCGGAATTGAAATAAAGAAATACATTTGGACAAATATATTTAATTAAATATTTCTAAAATAAACAAATAAATTGGGACAAATATATTTAATTGTATATTTTGCATATTTATATAAAGAAATAAAAAGAAATAACTAAAAAGACTTCGTAGTCAGCCCCCTAGCGGGCCTCGCTGGTGTGCAGCGAAGCCGTTTGCTGCAGCAGCAGCAGCAGCAGCAGCTGCTGCTGCTGCTGCAGCAGCAGCAGCAGCAGCTGCTGCTGCTGCTGCTGCTTTTCCAAATGCAGTTGAATGTAAACAAATGGCTTGGAGCCATGGAAAGCCCCAAACGCATGCAGAAGTGCAGCAAAGTGGCAAATGCATGCATGGCTAAGTTCAAGTGTCTTAATTTTAATTTATTTATTTTTTTGATTTTTTTAAATTCTTTTTCTTTTTGCAAACTTTTAAATGCTCTTCTAAAATGGCCTTTTTGTTCAATTATAATGACGCAAGCTTGGCATTTATTTCGTTTTTATTTTTTTCTTTTTTTAATTTTTTTTTTCTCTTTTTGCATTCCTAGTTGTGCAGTTTCCACTGTACATACACCTCCGTACTTTGCACTATTAATTAGTTTTATTTTAATTTAATTTTAATTTTAATTTTAATTTAATTTTAATTTTAATTTTAATTTTAATTTTAGTTATTTCATTTTTTGTTTTTATTTGCATGCACTTGTGCACTCCACAGAGAGTTTCAATTAGTTTTATTTTTTATTTTTGTCTTTGCATTCTTTTGCATTTTAATTAATTTAAATTCATTTTAATTTCAAAATTCATTTTAATTTTAAAAAGCCTTTTTGCACTTTGCTGCTGCACACGGCCCTTTGCTGCAGCAGCCCGCAGGCCCTCGTGAAGTTCCCCAAGACTCTGTCTTCAGCGAAGGTTTAGGGTTTAGGGTTTAGGGTTTAGGGTTTAGGGTTTAGGGTTTAGGGTTTAGGGTTTGCTGCCTTGGCTTGCCTGAGTCGCATGGGCCTGAAGCGCCGGTGGGTGAAACAGCTGCAGAATCTTTAGCTGGGGAATTCCTAGGACGTGCGCAGCTGCTAGGGTTTAGGGTTTAGGGTTTAGGGTTTAGGGTTTAGGGTTTAGGGTTTAGGGTTTGGGGTTTAGGATGTGACCTCGACTTGAGCGTCGCCGCCTCCCTCTGGAAGGATGGGGTAGTGTGGTGTTGCTTCGAAGCAATTTTAGCAAGCCAATTTTGTGGCGTTTAAATTGCTGCTGCTGCTGCTGCTGCTGCTGCTGCTGCTGCTGCTGCTGCTGCTGCTGCTGCTGCTGCCGGTGGTCGGTGTCCAGAAGTGACCATTGCTGCTGCTGGCGCTGCAGCTGTCCTTCTGCGCCGCACTGCAGCAAAGTGAAACAACTGATGTTTTTAAAGTTTAAAATAAATTAAATGGCATTTAATTAAACCACAAAACTGCTTCTTGCGCGGCGCGAGCTGTACGTACACCCCAGCTCCACAGAAGCTGCTGCTGCGCTCGGCTGCCCACAGCCGCGTCGCACTGCCGCGGCGGGGGCCCCTGGGGGCTTTCTTGGCGAATATAAATTGTTTTTTGTTTATTTTTTACTGAAAAAATATATTTTTTACTAAAAAATCAAAAAGTAGAAGCTCAAAAGGATAGAAGCAGCCGCAGAAGGCAGCGCGCTCCCGGGTCTGTCTCGCGGTCCGCGCAGGAGCCCGTGAAACACTGAATTAGGGTTTAGGGTTTAGGGTTTGCCGAGCGCCGCTGCTCCTTGCGGAAACCTGCGCCTGCTGCGCCGCATCTTATCGCCGAAGCAGCCCGCAGCAGCAGCAGCTGCTGCTGCAGTTGCTGCCACTACTTGTCTGGACAGCAGCAACAACGCAACAGCAGCAGCAGCAACAACAGCGAAGGCGACCGCAGCAGCAGCAGCAGCAGCAGCAACCGCAGCAACCGTCCCGCCCTGCTTCTTCTTCTGCAGCCGCAGAACTGCAGCTCCAAACCCTAAACCCTAAACCCTAAACCCTAAACAGCAGCCCCGTAGGAGGCAGGCATCATGGAGGCTTCGGGGGTTAGGGTTTCGAAGGACTAATTGCTTCGAGGGTTTGGGGTGTACGTACACCTCAGGCAGCTTCCAGGCTGACCTTTCTTTTCCTCAGTAGGGCCCCCAGGGGCCCCAGCAGCAAGCTGCTGCGGGGCCCCTCGGTGCGTTGTCCTAAACCCTAAACCCTAAACCCCAAACCCTAAACCCTAACCCTAAACCCCAGGCCTACTGGGTGCTTCCAGAACTGCCGCACTGAAGAAAGAACAATGGGGGCTGTTCAGGGCTCAGACGGGGCCGAGGATCGCGAATACCAGCAGCAGCAGCAGCAGCAGCAAGAGCAGCAGCTGCAGCAGCAGCAGCAGCAGCAGCAGCAACAGCAACATGACCTGCAGACACAAACTAAACAGGGGGCCCAAACTTCCCTCTGCGACTCACTAGGGGGCATACAGCCCGGAAACCCACAGCAGCAGCAGCAGCAGCAGCAGCAGCAGCAACTGCTGCCGCAGCAGCAGCAGGAGCTTCAGCAAGTTTCTCCGCCGTTGGTGGAGCCGCAGCGCCCCAGCTCCCACGAACGTGAGCAGCAGCAGCTGCAGCAGCAGCAGCAGCAGCAGCAATCTTCTTGGGGTTTAGCACCAGGGGGCCCCCTTGGGGCCCCCCAGCAGCAGCCCGGCTGCAGCGTTGACGTGGCTGGGTCGTCACCTGCTTCTGATCCTGCAGCAGCAGCAGCAGCAGCAGCAACGCCAGCAGCACCAGCAGCAGCAGAACCAGCAGCAGCAGCAGCAGCAGCAGCAGCGCCAGCAATACAGGAGCCTGCAGCAGCAGCAGCAGCAGCAGCAGCAACGCCAGCAGCACCAGCAGCAGCAGAACCAGCAGCAGCAGCAGCAGCAGCAGCAGCGCCAGCAATACAGGAGCCTGCAGCAGCAGCAGCACTACCAACAGTAGCAGTGACACCAGCAGCACCCGCAGCCCCAGCAGCAGCAGCATCCCCAGAAGCAGCGGCACCAGCAGCAGCAGCAGCAGCAGCAGCAGCAGCAGCAGCACCTGAGTCGCGGGGCCGGCTGCGGGCTGAAGGACACAAAGGGGGGAAGCGGCTGCCGCGGGACTGCTCGGGCTCTGTGTCTTGGAGATTAAGTGATTCTGTTTTTAGACAAAGAGTTCGAGAGATTTGTGCTCGTGCTGCAGTTCATCCTGCTGCTGCTGCTGCTGCTGCTGCTGCTGCTGCTGCTGCTGCGGAGGGCTCCCCGGACGCGGCGGCGGGCGCCAGCGACACGGCCGCGGTGTCGCACCCGCGGCACAGCAGCAGCAGCAGCAGCAGCAGCAGCCTGAGCAGCGGCAGCAGCAGCACGCCGGCGTGCTGCTGCTACCGCAGCAGCAGCAGCAGCCGCGGCAGCAGCAGCAGCACTTTAACTGTCAAGGAACTCAAACAAAGAGCTCTTGAAATTGAAAAAGGATCTTCTTCAGCTCTCGAAACTCCAAACCTCCTTGACGAAGTCCAGTACGTGCGCTTCAAGCTCGCCAACAAGGCCCTTTGCATTTTCCTAGTGAGCCTAGGGTTTAGGGTTTAGGGTTTAGGGTTTAGGGTTTAGGGTTTGGGGTTTGGGGTTTGCGGTTTGGGGTTTGGGGGAGGCGCTGCGGGGCGGCCTCAAAGAGCGACCCACACAGGACAAGACAATACATGGGATCTCTCGCGGGCTGCCCCTAAGGGTTTAGGGTTTAGGGTTTAGGGTTTAGGGTTTAGGGTTTAGGGTTTGGGCTATGACTGATAGGTTCTGTTGTGTGGACTTGGCTGGCTGCTGTCAGCGGGCGTGTGAGTTGTGCGAATGCGCGTGCATGGGATTTGGGGCCGAAGGCCTAGGGTTTAGGGTTTAGGGTTTAGGGTTTAGGGTTTAGGGTTTAGGGTTTAGGGTTTTGAGCTGGTTGTGTGGGCTTGTTTGGCTGCTGGCTGCATGCGTGTGCGTTGCGCGAGCGGGCGTGGGCGGGTGTCAGTGCCTACGCCTTAGGGTTTAGGGTCTAGGGTTTAGGGTTTAGGGTTTAGGGTTTAGGGTTTAGGGTTTAGGGTTTGGACAGGACTACGATGGCACTCTGACTCCAATCGTGGCGGACCCGCGCGAGGCCAAAATGTCTTCGGCGTTTCGCCGGACTTTGAAGAGGCTTTCGGCGGTCTTTCCCGTGGCCATTGTGACAGGTAATTAATTAATTAACTAATTAATTAATTAATTAATTAATTAATTTAATTTAATTAATTTAATTTAATTTAATTTAATTTAATTAATTTAATTAATTTAATTTAATTTAATTTAATTTAATTTGTTTGTTTTGTTTTTTTGTTTTCATTTTCGCAATTTGTTCGACGGCGGGGAAGTGGATGGGGAGGGAGAAAAAGGCTGGAGTTGGATTTGCAAGTTTTCGTTTTATTTTTTGTTTTTATTTTTTATTTATTTGTTTAATTTATTT